ATAATTCGAAGAAGACCAAAAAATTGTCAAGTATTGACCAAGCTAAGGATTTTAATATTGGAACTGATCGTGTATTGAGGTTCAAAGGAAGGGTGTGTGTACAAAGGAAAATGACTTGAAGCTATGATTATTGATGAATGGCACAAAAGAAATATAGTCTACACCCTGACATGACTAAGATGTACTAGGATCTAAAGGAATCATTTTTTTATTCAAGTATGAAGAATGATGTAGCTTAGTACATAACAACCTATTTGACTTATCAAAAAGCTAAGGTAGTACATAAGAGACCTATAGGCTTGTTACAACAATTGGATGTACCTAAATAGAAAGAGGAAAGCATTGTCATGGATTTTGGGAAATAGGTTAAGGATGAGTTTTGCCTATCTTCTTCAAACGGATGGTCCATCTGAAAGAACAATCCAAACACTAGAAGATTTATTAAGAACTTTTGTGCTAGACTACCTAGGCACTTGGGATGAGGTGTTGCCTCTATCGAAGTTTACCTATAAAAATACCATCATGTCATCATTGAAATGGCTACCAATAAAGTCTTGTACACAAAAAACTGCATATCCTATATGTTGGTATCAAAATGGAGAATCAATGATGGAGGGACCATAGTTTTTATAACAAACCAACGAGAAGTTTAAGCTGATACAAGAGAAAATGAGAGCCACATAGAGTAGTCAAAAGTCATACACAGATAAGAAGAGGAGACCCTTAGAGTTTGAGGCTGAAGATTATGTGTTTTTGAAAGTAACCCTTACCATTAGGATGGGAAGAGTTATTCGGTCTAAGAAGTTGAATCCTAAGTTTATTGGATCATACCAAATTCTTAGGACGATTGGTCTAGTTGCTTGTGAAATTGCTTTATCTCGACAGTTGGCAAACTTTCATAGTGTTTTCATGTATCTCAGTTGAAGAAGTACACCCATGACCCCGATTATGTTTTGGAAGTGGATGATGTACAAGTCAAAGAGAAATTATCGTTTGAGACTAGACTAGTCAAAATTGAGGATCATCAATCGAAACAACATAGAGGTAAGGAGATCAAAATGGTGAAAGTGTTATGGGATATTCTATCTGACAACACTACCTGGAAGTTAGAAGAAGATACGAAGAAGATACACCTTTTTCTTTTTCTTGACTTATAAATTTTGATGACGATTTTTTTTAGGAGAGATGTGAAATACCATTATAATATTTAAATAGTGAATGACGATTTTACTATTATATGTTTTTGAATGTATAGAAAAAAAATAACATTAAAATAATAATATAAATTCTCTGTATAATGTTAAGAGGAGAAATGAAACAAAGGAGTTTTGGTGATTGCATCCATCAATCTTTCTTCCTCATATTTCTCCATTTCCATTTTCTTTCTCATTTCTTAAAAAAAAAAACTCTATTGATCAAGATATTAAAGTAGTTTATAGAAATTATTTAATCTATTGAAAAATAAGATTTCACTTTAACAAGTTGTTTTAAGATAAGGGAATCATATATCAAATTATTATTTGTTTTTATGTTTTTCATTTATATTTTTATTATTGGTTTTAATTAGTGAAATGTCCTTAACATTTATTTTGTTATTATCATTGATACTTATTTTATTAAGTGAGTGTTTATAACCTCACTTTTTATATTTATATTTATATTTATATTTATTTGTTATATTTCTTGTATTTAATTAGGTATTAACCTTATTTTTTATTTGTATTTGTTGTTTATAATTATTTTATTTAGTGCTGTGGTTATAACCTCATTTTTTTGTTGTTTATATTTATTTGCATTTTAACTTTATTTAGTGAAGATTTCTTAACCTATTTTTTTAATTTATATATTTGTATTTATGATTTATATTTATTTTATTTAGTGAAATGTTTATAACCTCAATTTATTTACATTTATTTGCATACTTACTTTATTGAGGAAGTGTTCTTAATCTTGCTTTTTCATTTATTCATCTTTATTATTTATATTTATTTTATTTACTGAGCTGTTTTTAATTTTATTTAATGAGGTGTTTATTACTTCATTTGTTATTTACATTTATTTGCATATTTATTTTATTTAGTGAAATATTCTTAACCTCAACTTTCTATTCATCTTAACAAATTATATTTATTTATTTGGTGAAGTGCAAGATTTTACAAGAACATCAACATCTAAAAGTCTTATAAATCTATTTTTGTTTAATGTTAAATGGTAGGTTGAATGGTTTATATTTGATTGTAACTTTATTGATATAACATGATATGCATGAGAATTTCATAAAAATAAATAAACTTACCTTTATATTTGGTTTATGATTTTTCACATATAATGATCAAATATATATTATATATTATACTTGAATAAAGGATAAAGTGAAAGAAACTGTAATNTTTATATTTATATAAATTATTATATAATTTAAACTAGTTTTAATATATTTTATATATTTAACCCTCTTAATATATTTATTAAAGATTCGCATTGCATGAGACCATCCATGTTATATAACATAATTTTAATGAGAGCAATAAAAGTGATTTATATTTAATATTAACCATGTAACCTACATTTATTAATATTTAAAGATAATTAAATAAGATAATGCAATAAAATAATGATACGATTTACTTTTATTTACATTTAAAGATAATTAAGTAAGATGATGCAAAAATATAACAATAAGTCACTTAATTAAACAAAAATTAAATGTTAATTAAAAAATAATCATAGTACTTAATATATAGACAAAAACATTAACATAAATTCAATTAAAAATTCATCAAATTTATCATAAAGTCAAACACAATCAAACTTTAATATCATATACAATATAATATATTTAACTATGTTAATATTATTTATAAATTGTTTTAAAGTATATTTATAGTGTACATTGTATTATTAACACGTGCATTTATTTTAAATATTTACAACTATGTTATAAAATCTGACATGTAAGTTATAGTAAATGAGCCATATTTTGATTGATAACCGAAAGTTTGTTATAATATATTGAACATATTATAACTGAAATGAAATTATTATGATATATTTTTTTGTTACGACATAAAATATTATTATGATAGTAAGAGTTATGACATCAATCCACATGTGATAATAGATAATTTTATCTGTTATAAAAAGTCAATTCCATATCAGTGACTTAAAATTAAGACACTTAACAAATGGGGAATAAATGAGATAATTTACATATTTATATCTTGAGTTAGTTTTAAAATTCCACATTATCTATTTCACTTAATTGCACTTTTTTTTTTTCCTTTTTTGAAAAGTTCTTAAAATATTATTACTTATCCTCTCCATTTAACAATATTTACTTAAGTATTTAACTAAATAGATATAAGTAAAAATCAAATAATTATACTTGCTTATAATAAATTAATATATAATTAATAACTGCATGTGGCAATCTTCACATCATAATTGAAAAAAGAGGGCAAGATGTGAACTAAACTCCAAATAATTGAATTGAAATAAAACCTTCATTGTTTTATATATAAAAAATAAACTTCATAGTTATTGTAAAATATTTGGCGTAGAGTAATGAAATGGAATGTGTGATTGAGAAAAGTTGACAGCGATGAGAANTTTCCATTTTCTTTCTCATTTCTTAAAAAAAAAAACTCTATTGATCAAGATATTAAAGTAGTTTATAGAAATTATTTAATCTATTGAAAAATAAGATTTCACTTTAACAAGTTGTTTTAAGATAAGGGAATCATATATCAAATTATTATTTGTTTTTATGTTTTTCATTTATATTTTTATTATTGGTTTTAATTAGTGAAATGTCCTTAACATTTATTTTGTTATTATCATTGATACTTATTTTATTAAGTGAGTGTTTATAACCTCACTTTTTATATTTATATTTATATTTATATTTATTTGTTATATTTCTTGTATTTAATTAGGTATTAACCTTATTTTTTATTTGTATTTGTTGTTTATAATTATTTTATTTAGTGCTGTGGTTATAACCTCATTTTTTTGTTGTTTATATTTATTTGCATTTTAACTTTATTTAGTGAAGATTTCTTAACCTATTTTTTTAATTTATATATTTGTATTTATGATTTATATTTATTTTATTTAGTGAAATGTTTATAACCTCAATTTATTTACATTTATTTGCATACTTACTTTATTGAGGAAGTGTTCTTAATCTTGCTTTTTCATTTATTCATCTTTATTATTTATATTTATTTTATTTACTGAGCTGTTTTTAATTTTATTTAATGAGGTGTTTATTACTTCATTTGTTATTTACATTTATTTGCATATTTATTTTATTTAGTGAAATATTCTTAACCTCAACTTTCTATTCATCTTAACAAATTATATTTATTTATTTGGTGAAGTGCAAGATTTTACAAGAACATTAACATCTAAAAGTCTTATAAATCTATTTTTGTTTAATGTTAAATGGTAGGTTGAATGGTTTATATTTGATTGTAACTTTATTGATATAACATGATATGCATGAGAATTTCATAAAAATAAATAAACTTACCTTTATATTTGGTTTATGATTTTTCACATATAATGATCAAATATATATTATATATTATACTTGAATAAAGGATAAAGTGAAAGAAACTGTAATTGATAATGAGGAACGACAATAAGGATGTGGAGTTTTATATTGTTTTATATTGTAAATATGTAATATAAAAAAATTGTGTATATTTTAAATTAAGCATGTTTAAATAATGAAAAACTTTATGAATATTTGGTGTTTATTTGGATCGTTACAAATGAAATTTTGATCATTTTAAAAATCAAGCATCAACTTGAGGAGGTGGCTCAACTTGGCAGAGCCAATGGGTGTCCCCACCAAAACAAGCATCGACTCTGCTAATTACCAACTCTTTCAAAAATGCGCATGTGAAAATTAATCTTCTGTCTTCAATTGTTTAGCAACCGTGAAACACTTCTTATAATGTTAAATCAGTATTTTCAAACCAGAGAGGGGGTAATGAAATGAATTGGTAGATTTAAATTTTCTGTCTACGATGAATTTTCTATTAAAATACAATGTTTGTTAACAGTTACACTTCCAGAGAGATATGCATAGCATTAATCAAATTAGATGTTTGAATACACTATAGCCATGACAGCCTTTCTCCTCTAGTTCCCCAGAAACAGTCGTATGTCAAGTTGTAATTAGCAAAATTTCCCACAAGTATCGATCTGTCGATCACAAGTTCCAATACCCGAGTTCGTTCAGGTTCTTCTTCCTTCTCGAGGGATGCAGTAATGGGCAGAAAACTGAAGCAAATGGCACTCCCAAATTGAAAAAAACAAAAACTTCATCTAGAGAACTCGAGTCAGTTATTTGCCAATGAGCTTGTAGTAGGCATATAGACCAGATCCAGCAAAACCAAGAAATTGCCCGGATATGTTCCACTGAAATTGAATAAAAACACATTTATCGTCAGTTATATCAATGCTCAATTGGGAACACCAGAACTGCAGCAGAGTAAGAACAAGAATACTCACAATATCAAAAGGTAGCCCACCAAAAATTATCCAGCCAAGACCAATAGTAAATAGATCCTAGACATCGATTAAGAATAATTAGAAAGCGTAAAAGCTGCCTAAAACAATCGTGGCAACATTATAGAGCCCAAATTAGAGAGTAGAAATAAGTTCCGAGAATGAATGAATGCATTGTATATACGTGGAAAAGGGACTGACTAATGTAACTATATCTTAACCAAATAATTTTAAGCTAATATCTCTAACACCCTGACGCCCGTTCTAGATGGTAGAAGGTGAATGCTAACATTTACAACTTAGAAAAATGGGCACATTGGCAAAATACAATATGTCAAAAGATCCCATACATTGGTGAAACTGGCAATGGCAAAATAGGAAACAAGCTTAATCCCCATGCAAAAAAGTTACAGTCAATGCTTAGCTGTTAGGAAGAAGTGAATCAAACAAAGATTAACCACATAAGGTCATCTCTAATAAAATTGGTTACAAAGGTCTGTCAACAAATTATACCATTGAGCAAATGACATGACATTGCTTATATAAGCACCGTTGCTTAAAACAAAATATGCTTTCAATGAGAGAAATTAATGGGGTTTAAGAGTTACTAATATGGAGTCAATTATATGAATTACAAAATTAGGTTGAGTGAATTATTTTGTGTAAAGTGCTTAAACTTATGTGGAACTATAACAAACTCATTTAAGCAACCATACATTATGGATGCTCCAAGAAGAAGCTAACTCTATTCTAATGCCAAGGTTCATCTTCATAATTGAGATATAAAAGTTACACTCTCAGGGAAAACTAGATAATGTTTCGACATCAAATCCGCTAAAGTAACATTGTCACACTTAATCATTGCATTCGAGGCATTGTTCGTTCTAGAACTCGAAACATCTGTAATGATTTTTGTCTTTCAAAAGCATCTCAATGGGTTAAGGGAGGACGGTGTATATATACTACCTTTAGCGTCAACTTTTAAGCTATATGAGAGTTTTGGACAAATTGGAAGAAGTCCCTAATCAAGGACTAAACTACAAGAAAGGCTTGGAACCATCCATTTTGTCTCCAAGATGCTACTAATGCTCTGACCTCAAATCCATTAAGATAACATCACTTGGTAAGTTCCATAATGTTTCAACCTCAAGTTTGCCTATATAGCATTGTTACCACATCTGAATTATTGTTCGCTTTGGAATTTGATGCTTTGGTAACGATTTTGTTCTTAAAAGGNAACAAATTATACCATTGAGCAAATGACATGACATTGCTTATATAAGCACCGTTGCTTAAAACAAAATATGCTTTCAATGAGAGAAATTAATGGGGTTTAAGAGTTACTAATATGGAGTCAATTATATGAATTACAAAATTAGGTTGAGTGAATTATTTTGTGTAAAGTGCTTAAACTTATGTGGAACTATAACAAACTCATTTAAGCAACCATACATTATGGATGCTCCAAGAAGAAGCTAACTCTATTCTAATGCCAAGGTTCATCTTCATAATTGAGATATAAAAGTTACACTCTCAGGGAAAACTAGATAATGTTTCGACATCAAATCCGCTAAAGTAACATTGTCACACTTAATCATTGCATTCGAGGCATTGTTCGTTCTAGAACTCGAAACATCTGTAATGATTTTTGTCTTTCAAAAGCATCTCAATGGGTTAAGGGAGGACGGTGTATATATACTACCTTTAGCGTCAACTTTTAAGCTATATGAGAGTTTTGGACAAATTGGAAGAAGTCCCTAATCAAGGACTAAACTACAAGAAAGGCTTGGAACCATCCATTTTGTCTCCAAGATGCTACTAATGCTCTGACCTCAAATCCATTAAGATAACATCACTTGGTAAGTTCCATAATGTTTCAACCTCAAGTTTGCCTATATAGCATTGTTACCACATCTGAATTATTGTTCGCTTTGGAATTTGATGCTTTGGTAACGATTTTGTTCTTAAAATGCATCTTGGTGGGTTAAGGAAGAGAGTGTATATAAGCTACTCTTGACCTTGACTCTTAAGTGATGTGAAACTTTTATATGTACTCCCAATCAAAGGGCTATGTTGAAGGAGTGGCTTGAAATCCTCCATTTTGTCCCATGGATTGCCAATGTTTCGACTTTAAATTTGCTAAGATAACATTGGAAGGATCAATTACCACACTTGAGATATTGTCTACTTTGTAGCTCAACACTTTTGTCATGTTTTTGTTATTTATAGTTGTTTTGGTGGGTTAAGTGAGAAAGGTGTTTATAAACTAGCTTAGTGTGAAGTCCTAAGCGACATAGGACTTTTGGATGTACATGAACAAATGTTTTAACCTCAAGTCTTCTAAGATAGATCGTTAGAGTAAATTACTACAATTGAAGTATTGTCAGCTTTGGAACTCAATGTTTCCTTTACAGTTGTCCTTAAAAGGAACTTCAGTGTGTCAAGGGAGGAAAGTGTATATAAACTACTCTTGGTCTCACCTACTAAGTAAAGTGACACTTTTAGGCATAGTGGAATAAGCCCCCTAGTTGTGGGTCAAGGGAAATTAGTCTAGAACCCTTCTTTTCCCGTCCATAGATGATGTCAATATTCTCATCTCAAGTCCACTAACATCATTAGCGGCAATCACCACATTAGAAGTATTTTCTGCTTTTGAGCTCCATACTTCCATCATGGTTTTATGCTTTGGTGGGTTAATGGATGAAAGTGTATATATATATATATATATATATACAATCTATCCTTGATATCACCACTTAAACGATAAAGGACTTTTGGGCGTACTAGACAGATTCCATCAGGTAAACATGAAATTTTGGCTTGGGCAGCTATAAATACCATTCTTTGGAAATACTTAGAGTCCTCCTTAAGGTAACTGAAGAAAAATGAAGATCACCAAAGCATATTAGCTCCAATGAAAATATTTTAACTTCAGGCAAGGTAACTCCACCATAGCATGATCAGTGAACCAACAAATGTTCAAGTATCAAAATACAGATGACAACCTTGGCCAATACAAAAGTCATTAAGAAACTTGGTACCATTTCACAAGTGAAACTTGAGTTAATGAATTGTAACCATGATCATCAAAGAACACGAAGCAAGCTCAGATTGAGAGCCACAAGGAAAGCAATAGCAACAAAGTTAACTAAATAGCAGGAACGCCTGCAATAAATTCAGATAGATCGCCACTATCAAGAACAAAGAATATGTTCCACATAGGTTGAGATCTTCAATCAGAATAAAAAACCAGAATGAGACCTTTAGATTGCTTCATGATATGAAAATTCAATCTTCTATAACTTGATTGGAAGGGAAAATAGAAACCATTTCTCTTGGTTCAAAGACTCTTGTGACTGCATAAAGATTCTTAGTTGTGTTTGCAATTCAATAGGGAACCAAAAGTAAAATAATCTGATTGGATGAGTGAAAATCATGATGCATGAAATTGGAGATCTGTGAGGCCACACCCATTGTCAATGCTAGCAATGCCATTGGGATCTCTTGGGTGTGTATAGCGAAGCGAGTGATTGCAACATTGTTGAGGAGGGGAGAATTGAAATGTGATTAGGGACTGAGAATCAGACAAAAATGGAGAGATAGGACCTGAATCTGAGTTTTGATGGGAGAAATGACAGGAAGAATTATTGATTTGGCAAGAACATCAATGAGAATGAAATACAGAAAAGGGTGGTGAATAGAGCTGAGAAATTGAGGGAAGGGAAGAAAAAGAGCTCCGAATGGGGGTCTCTATTACCATGTGGAGAAATATGGCAGAGTCCAAATTATAGAGAAAGTAATGAGAATGAAAGAATGTATTATTGATACAAAATGATGCAGTACAAATTCAAACTACTATACGAGAGACTAACTAATCAAACCATCATCTTGACTAACTATTTCAACCAATCAACCATCTGTAATAACAACATCATGAGTATGATGTCCAAATTAAAAGTACGTACCCAATGTGGAAAAAGTATGTCCTTAGTCCAATTAAAGGAGTACAAATTAGACTCAATGGCATGATATGGAAAAATTATGTTCTTATCCAATTAAAGCCAATTTATTGTGCTAAGTCAGTGTGATGTCCACATTAAAGGTTTCCAACATAGACTAAATATCTTAAGCCTAATTGATCAGAAACAATATCTGGAAGTTTTTCTTTTCCCCACTGTTCATGAGTCAAATATGATTTGAAGCAAGATGATTTCCCAAGAAATTCAGATTATGCACATTTCTTTACTTCCAAATAATTTTTCCAGCAAAATTTATGTCACTTCAAATAAATCCCCCCTTTATCTCTCTTATCCGTATCAGTATCCAGAAGCAAATTAACAGATGATTACACTTAGTCGTTCTTAACACCAAAACGTACAAGAATCTTCCCAAATTCCAAAATTAATAGCCAGACCAATGTGTACTAATAAGGCCATTTCTCACCCTATATTAGTCAAATTCGTAGAATTTCCATTGCACACAAGATGTACTTCAACAGAAAAGGCATACTACACCATGTCATCATTATGAAAGCAAAGCTTTACAGCATCATCACTGACAACCTGTAAATCTAGGTGCACTATTTATGCAAGGTAAAAAACAACAAGCAAGGCATGCATAGATACCTTCAGATTACCACAAATTGTCTGTGTGACAGCTGAATTTAGAGTTGTGTTCAGAAAAATACAGTAATTCAAGAAGAATGCCAGTATGCAGGAAANAAACATTGAAAAAAAAAATCTTCATTGTAATTAGAAAAAACCTTGAATAAATATTCTCCTCTTCTTCTCAAGTTTTAAAAATAAATTATAAAGTCAAAATCACATACCCATCATAAAGAAAACAAAAACAAACAAAATGTGGAAAAACATTTTACAATAATCCAAATATTACAAAAATTATCTAGAAACATAGTCCATAAAGTGGTGAGTTAAAGAATCAACTTTCTATTGCTCGTGTTTCCGCTTCTGATTTTTTAAGCTTTATTTTCAACAAGTGGATCTTATGATAAAAAATAAAAATTAATTATTATTATTATTATTATTATTAAAATTGAAAATATTATTAAATTTATTAATAGCGTATTCAAAAAAATTAATTGTAAAATGAATTATTTTTACAATTTTAATACAGGTAATGTTTTATTGGAGATGGATTAATTGGATTAAAAAAATAATAACAAACCTAAAAGATAAAATAATAAAATAATGTATATTGGTAAGAGTAAAAGTGATAAAATATTGTGTATATGAAAAAACAGTTACTAAATTTGGTTAAAAAAACAAATCCTTTATCATAAATATATGCAATGTTATTTATAGAAGAGACTGTGTTCATTGAAAATAGAGTATTATCCATGTTATAAAACTCTATCTTATGATTACGAAATATTATTATAATATTTAAATAACGATGATTTTATTATTATATGGTTTTAAATATGTAAGAAAAAATTAATATTAAAATAATAATATAAATTTTCAATGTTAAGAGAAAAACTGAAAGAAAGAAGTTTTGATAATTGTATTTATTAATTTTTTTTCTCACTGTTCTTCATTTTTATTTTCTTTCACATTTAAAAGAATTTATATTATTAAAATTTTAAAATAATTTAGAAAAATTATTCAATCTATTGAAAAATAGAGTTTTATTTGAAAAAAATATATTTTAAAATAAAGAAAACATATATTTAATTATTATTCTTTTTATATTTTGTTATTTATTTTAATTACTGAAACGTTTGTATTTTTGTTATTATTATTGATACTTATCTTATTAAGTGAGTAAAATCTTATTTTATTTTCTTTATATTTATTTGTTATATTTCTTTTATTTAGTGAGTTGTTTTTTTAATTTTATTTTTTCTCTGTTATTTATATTTATTTGCATTTTTACTTTAGTGAGGTATTCTCAACTTTACTTATTTATTTATTTATTAGTCTTTATTTTTTATATTTATTTTATAATCTAAATACTAATTTGGTTTCTATTTTCGTAAAGTTTATTCAATTTAGTCATAATATATATTTTTTTTAATTTGGTCTCAATTTTTTTCAATTTTATTCAATTTGATTCAATTTGATCCTTTTAACTAATGTTATTTAAATAATTAACAAACAATGAACAATATTTGTTACGTGTTAGTTCTTGATTTTTTGTTTTTTTTTTTAAATTTTTAAGAGGTGAATGTACACAATAAAGGTGAATGTGGTTACTGATTTTCTCAATAGGAAAATGATACAAGTATTTAGTATGATGATTAAGGAGTTGGAGTTGATTGAACAATTCAAATATCTCAATTTGGGGGTAAAAATGTATATTGATCACATTAGTTGTTGTCAATTGGTTATAACCAATGATTCCGTAGATATGATCAAGGTAAAACAATTGTTGGATTATAATTCGAAGAAGACCAAAAAATTGTCAAGTATTGACCAAGCTAAGGATTTTAATATTGGAACTGATCGTGTATTGAGGTTCAAAGGAAGGGTGTGTGTACAAAGGAAAATGACTTGAAGCTATGATTATTGATGAATGGCACAAAAGAAATATAGTCTACACCCTGACATGACTAAGATGTACTAGGATCTAAAGGAATCATTTTTTTATTCAAGTATGAAGAATGATGTAGCTTAGTACATAACAACCTATTTGACTTATCAAAAAGCTAAGGTAGTACATAAGAGACCTATAGGCTTGTTACAACAATTGGATGTACCTAAATAGAAAGAGGAAAGCATTGTCATGGATTTTGGGAAATAGGTTAAGGATGAGTTTTGCCTATCTTCTTCAAACGGATGGTCCATCTGAAAGAACAATCCAAACACTAGAAGATTTATTAAGAACTTTTGTGCTAGACTACCTAGGCACTTGGGATGAGGTGTTGCCTCTATCGAAGTTTACCTATAAAAATACCATCATGTCATCATTGAAATGGCTACCAATAAAGTCTTGTACACAAAAAACTGCATATCCTATATGTTGGTATCAAAATGGAGAATCAATGATGGAGGGACCATAGTTTTTATAACAAACCAACGAGAAGTTTAAGCTGATACAAGAGAAAATGAGAGCCACATAGAGTAGTCAAAAGTCATACACAGATAAGAAGAGGAGACCCTTAGAGTTTGAGGCTGAAGATTATGTGTTTTTGAAAGTAACCCTTACCATTAGGATGGGAAGAGTTATTCGGTCTAAGAAGTTGAATCCTAAGTTTATTGGATCATACCAAATTCTTAGGACGATTGGTCTAGTTGCTTGTGAAATTGCTTTATCTCGACAGTTGGCAAACTTTCATAGTGTTTTCATGTATCTCAGTTGAAGAAGTACACCCATGACCCCGATTATGTTTTGGAAGTGGATGATGTACAAGTCAAAGAGAAATTATCGTTTGAGACTAGACTAGTCAAAATTGAGGATCATCAATCGAAACAACATAGAGGTAAGGAGATCAAAATGGTGAAAGTGTTATGGGATATTCTATCTGACAACACTACCTGGAAGTTAGAAGAAGATACGAAGAAGATACACCTTTTTCTTTTTCTTGACTTATAAATTTTGATGACGATTTTTTTTAGGAGAGATGTGAAATACCATTATAATATTTAAATAGTGAATGACGATTTTACTATTATATGTTTTTGAATGTATAGAAAAAAAATAACATTAAAATAATAATATAAATTCTCTGTATAATGTTAAGAGGAGAAATGAAACAAAGGAGTTTTGGTGATTGCATCCATCAATCTTTCTTCCTCATATTTCTCCATTTCCATTTTCTTTCTCATTTCTTAAAAAAAAAAACTCTATTGATCAAGATATTAAAGTAGTTTATAGAAATTATTTAATCTATTGAAAAATAAGATTTCACTTTAACAAGTTGTTTTAAGATAAGGGAATCATATATCAAATTATTATTTGTTTTTATGTTTTTCATTTATATTTTTATTATTGGTTTTAATTAGTGAAATGTCCTTAACATTTATTTTGTTATTATCATTGATACTTATTTTATTAAGTGAGTGTTTATAACCTCACTTTTTATATTTATATTTATATTTATATTTATTTGTTATATTTCTTGTATTTAATTAGGTATTAACCTTATTTTTTATTTGTATTTGTTGTTTATAATTATTTTATTTAGTGCTGTGGTTATAACCTCATTTTTTTGTTGTTTATATTTATTTGCATTTTAACTTTATTTAGTGAAGATTTCTTAACCTATTTTTTTAATTTATATATTTGTATTTATGATTTATATTTATTTTATTTAGTGAAATGTTTATAACCTCAATTTATTTACATTTATTTGCATACTTACTTTATTGAGGAAGTGTTCTTAATCTTGCTTTTTCATTTATTCATCTTTATTATTTATATTTATTTTATTTACTGAGCTGTTTTTAATTTTATTTAATGAGGTGTTTATTACTTCATTTGTTATTTACATTTATTTGCATATTTATTTTATTTAGTGAAATATTCTTAACCTCAACTTTCTATTCATCTTAACAAATTATATTTATTTATTTGGTGAAGTGCAAGATTTTACAAGAACATCAACATCTAAAAGTCTTATAAATCTATTTTTGTTTAATGTTAAATGGTAGGTTGAATGGTTTATATTTGATTGTAACTTTATTGATATAACATGATATGCATGAGAATTTCATAAAAATAAATAAACTTACCTTTATATTTGGTTTATGATTTTTCACATATAATGATCAAATATATATTATATATTATACTTGAATAAAGGATAAAGTGAAAGAAACTGTAATTGATAATGAGGAACGACAATAAGGATGTGGAGTTTTATATTGTTTTATATTGTAAATATGTAATATAAAAAAATTGTGTATATTTTAAATTAAGCATGTTTAAATAATGAAAAACTTTATGAATATTTGGTGTTTATTTGGATCGTTACAAATGAAATTTTGATCATTTTAAAAATCAAGCATCAACTTGAGGAGGTGGCTCAACTTGGCAGAGCCAATGGGTGTCCCCACCAAAACAAGCATCGACTCTGCTAATTACCAACTCTTTCAAAAATGCGCATGTGAAAATTAATCTTCTGTCTTCAATTGTTTAGCAACCGTGAAACACTTCTTATAATGTTAAATCAGTATTTTCAAACCAGAGAGGGGGTAATGAAATGAATTGGTAGATTTAAATTTTCTGTCTACGATGAATTTTCTATTAAAATACAATGTTTGTTAACAGTTACACTTCCAGAGAGATATGCATAGCATTAATCAAATTAGATGTTTGAATACACTATAGCCATGACAGCCTTTCTCCTCTAGTTCCCCAGAAACAGTCGTATGTCAAGTTGTAATTAGCAAAATTTCCCACAAGTATCGATCTGTCGATCACAAGTTCCAATACCCGAGTTCGTTCAGGTTCTTCTTCCTTCTCGAGGGATGCAGTAATGGGCAGAAAACTGAAGCAAATGGCACTCCCAAATTGAAAAAAACAAAAACTTCATCTAGAGAACTCGAGTCAGTTATTTGCCAATGAGCTTGTAGTAGGCATATAGACCAGATCCAGCAAAACCAAGAAATTGCCCGGATATGTTCCACTGAAATTGAATAAAAACACATTTATCGTCAGTTATAACAATGCTCAATTGGGAACACCAGAACTGCAGCAGAGTAAGAACAAGAATACTCACAATATCAAAAGGTAGCCCACCAAAAATTATCCAGCCAAGACCAAT